TAGACCCGAAACGTCAGCTTTCCTGCTCCTCTGATGCTCCTTGGCCTGCTGTGTTCATCCAGCTCTACACCTTGTTATACTGACTCTGGACTTTGGTTATCTCATTTTTGAATGCTTCCCATTTTCCAGCCATCCCTTTACCCGTGAACATTTGCCCCCAATGAACTTTTTGAAAGTTCTTGCCTAATACCGTCAAAATGGACCTTCCTCCAGTTTAGAAGTCCTGTTAGAGTTTTATGGTTTTCTATGAGATCCTCCCTCATTCTAAATGCCAGTGAATGTAGTGTTCAGTGATCCAGTCTCTCTTCATAAGTCAGTCTTACCAGCCCAGGAATCAGTCTGGAAAACCTTTGTTGCACTCCTTCCATAAGCAGAACGTCCTCCCTCAGGACTGACGAAGGCCCTCCATCTCCACCATCCTTCCATCCCTCAAACAAAGCACACCAATCTCCCATCATAAACATTACCTGCTGTAAAGAAATTGGAGGATTTAGATGTAAAATTTTAAAATTAAACTCACATTAGATAATTGCAGGAACTACATCATATTTTGCTGCCCTGTGCCCTGTACATTGCATTTTCTTATTTAACAAGTTGATTTAATTCAGTTTTGAGATGTGGGCCTTTAAATTGGTAGGATTTGAACGTGTGTCTGGCACTTTGATTAGCAGTTCAATAACTTAAGGCTGAACGTTAGCCTTTTCCAGTTATGTTGAGATTTTTGGAGGGAATCTATCTTTAAGGCCTAACCTTACCAAATCCGCCGCATTAACAAACTATTGTGTCCCTATGGTGCACTTAGGTCTGATATTATCCCATCTTACCATGCACCATCCCACCGTCGGAGACCAGGCGCCTGCTCAGCCCCCAGCAGGAGATGACCCCACGGAGTCAGCAAACAGGGACTTCACCGCCGTGCTGAGAGAGAGAGATAGGAACAGCAGACAGGGATGTGGGACGGAATGGCTCTCAGTACCCTCAGGACTGAAGGCTTTAGGGCGGCACGGTGGCTCAATGGTTAGCACTGCTGCCTCACAGCGCCAGGGACCTGGGTTCGATTCCACCCTTGGGGAACTGTCTGTGTAGAGATTGCACATTCTCCGTGTCTGCATGGGTTTCCTCTGGGTGCTCCGGTTTCCTCCCATGGTCCAAAGATGTGCAGGCTAGGTGGATTGGCCATGCCTAATTGTCCCATAGTGTTCAGGGATGTGTAGAATAGGTGAGTTATGTGGGATGGGTCTGGGTGGGATGCTCTGACAGCCAGTGTGGACTTGCTGGGCCAAAGCGCCTGTTTCTACACTGTAGGGACTCTATAATCTAGTGTCAGAGGGATGGGGCAATAGCAAGTACTCCAGCTGCCCCGTCCTCACAAGGAGACAGGACAACACCAGGAAGGCCCCAGACCGAGGAGGAACAACACACGACTCCTTAAGAGGTCTCCTCTCAGCACAGTCCAGAGGTCACCAGGCCCTCCGCTCGTGCCCTGCCTGTCCCCTTCCAATCCTCAGAAACTCATGCTGAGGAGGGTCCATTGATTCTGGCAAGACGACTCTCAGTAGATCAGAGATAGTAGGAACAGCCGATGCTGGAGAATCTGAGATAACAAGGTGTGGAGCTGGATGAACACAGCAGGCCAAGCAGCATCAGAGGAGCAGGAAAGCTGTCTGGACCCTTCTTCAGAAATGGGGGAGGGGAAGGGGATTCTGAAATAAATAGAGAGACAGGGGGAGGCGGATGGAAGGTGGATAAAGGAGCAGATAGGTGGAGAGGAGACGGACAGGTCAAGGAGGCAGGGATGGAGCCAGTAAAGGTGAGTGTAGGTGGAGAGTTAGGGTGGGGGTTGGTCAGTCCAGGGAAGACGGACAGGTCAAGGAGGCGGGGATGAGGTTGGTAGGTAGGAGGTGGGGGTGGGGATTGAGGTGGAAGGAGTGGAGGAATGGAACAGACTCCCTTCATCTCAGCTACACAACCAGGGACTAAACTGAGACATAATGGGAAAGAGGAGGAAGAAACACCTATTGTGGGCACCATGGTGGTATGGATGACAATACACGGTACATGGTTTCTGATGTCTGTATAAGTTTCATTGCTTCAGTCCCACATCTGTTTGTATGTCTCTCTGTGCAGTTCCAACTGTAACTGCGTGTTGCCTAACTTCCTGTGTATACAGGATGTCCCATGGATCAATGTCTGTGTCGAAAGCCTGCTGCAGCATCTGGGAACAAGAGAAATAAGGTGTGCACAGGGCAGAGGGTCCTGCTGACACCATTATAATATCCCTATTCTTTCACCGGCCTGTGTCCAAAATGGTTGGTGTGAATGAGGTAGTCTGTGTCCTGTACAACGCATGGGTCTGTGTGTCACACTGTTTCCCACATCAATAACCTCGTTCACAGGCTGAGTTCTTCCCCATTGTGTACTTCTGATTTCCAACAGAATGGAAGGCAGCAGTCAAGGCAGCTGCTTTCATTCAGTGGCTTCCAGCCCCTGCATCTATGCGTCAGCGAGGCCCAGAACATTGAGACCCCCTTCCTAATTAACTCTTCCTGAGAACCCCACCAAATTCAGTGCCCCAGGACTTCAACCAAGCCATTGGCACGACCCCACACCTATCCACCTTTCTGATCAAGCCCCTGGGAGGTGACCATGCCAGTTGTGGTCATACATTGTGCCCTCCTTGAAGTCAGGGGGCTCCTGGCTGTAGATGACCCTCCCACCCATATGACCCCCTGTCCATACATCGTTTACCATGTCACGCCCCACAACTGTTCCATTCACAATTGTTATTCCCTCTCCTCGCCTACAGCTCCCAATTCTGCCAAATAGGTTCCTGACTCTACTCCCAACAACAGACCTCCTCGACTCCCCCTCCCTCCCACAATTTTCCTCTTCGTTTCTGTGGGTAAATCCGATGGAATTATCATGGAATGATGAGTGAGCTAATCCAGCAGCCCAACAGGGCAGGTACCCACACCCCTGGCTGATGGCTGTACATCTTGCTGACTGTTTTAGCCCTAATCCCCAGACTGTCCGCTATTGAGCCAGAGGACTGAGCGTGACCCAGTCTCTGTTTTGCAGAGGCACTGAGCCCCTGATTGGGAACCAGATGTCTTACTATGAGCAATCCCCTGGACTGGTATTGGAGGCTGGCCTTGACCTACTCCTCAGACCCCCTGACTGATGGGTGTCTCTGTGAACTTCATGGAATGCTTCCCTTAGACTTTCAGGCATGCTTGCTTTCTTGCCGCACATGTTGGGTGTTTGCTGTGTATGCTGTTGATATGTGGAGCGAGTGTGAGATTGATGTAGCACACTGCAGTACAGCAAGGTGGACATCTCCTTCACTGAGGACTGCTGGCCAGCTGCCTGGCTGTGTGACTCTAACTGGCAAAGCAAGGCATGGATGCTGTGAGCATTGGATCAGTGTTAAGCGAGCAAGCTAGCAGCCCTGAGATACAGCCTAAGATGTCCTGTCCATGAGTTGGGTGCATGTCTATGTGCACAAAGCATCCTTAAGGCGGTTTCTCAATGCTAGTTGCTGGTGTGCCCTGCATTCCGAGTTTGTGCTCCCTTGAGCATCCTGCAAATAGAATCGAGAAGTGCCCTGATGATCATGAGGTGGATGGGGCAAACGTTGGACCTTAATCTCTGTAATGAGGGGCACTTGTGGCTGGTACCTGTGAGATACTGTTTAGTGCCGAGCAGCAGGGAGGCTCCTCACAGCCAGCGGTGAGCCGCAGTCCCAGGTACTCACTCTGACCTCCACATTGAGAATTCTCAACGTCGAGTTTGTGAGATATGAAGCTGGTTGGGCCATTAGTAAGGTGTTCCACAAGCAACAATTCCCCTTTATTGGGAACTTGCTGCTGTCAAGTGAGAAACTTGCCGCTGTCAAGTGAGAAACTTGCCTCACCACTCAGGCAAATGCATAAAAGATGTAGCAAGATGCTCCCACTGCTGAGATGGGCCTTAGTGATCCAATTCTGCCACAAATCTTGCCATGGCCCCATGTCACTTAGATCCCTGTAAGATTCCATCCATGAGCATTAGCATAACTGGTAAACACTTATTGACACAATGCACCTTCTGTCATGCACCACTCTTTGGCTGAGGATGCAAACAGATGGCCAAACCTGTCACTCTGTAACTTGTTAAGTTGTAAAATCCTGACTCACCTTTCATTGTTTTCCTTCCTCTCTTCATTTGGGGAAATGGCTGGCCTCAAGAGAAGGCACAAGACTATTCAACCATCTAAAATAAAAAGGGAAATGCATGTTAAAAATATGAAAGAAAAGGTGAAAAAAAATTACAATCAAAACAGAATACGTACTGAAAGCGCCAACAAAATACTGATATTTCAATTTGCAAATCCGCATACTTGGTATTTTAGTAGTTCTAAGCTTAAAATCATTAGAGCCTTAAAAGCCCATCGCATAAGTGCTCTGAGATTATTAGGACTCTCTGGTGGATTTAATGACTATCTTGTAAGGTGTCTACTTAATAATAAAGAAACTAATCTGTTTGGTCCAACCGGTCTACAGTAGTGTTGATCCTCCAAATCAGTAGTATCTGTTCATCCCGGTCTCATACTCCTTTTCCCTCTACAACCACCAATCTAATCTATTCCTAATATCTTAAACAATAAATTGCCATCTGTATTATCTTTACAAACTTGAACAGAGAATTCGCCTTTCCTGAGTCATTTATTTTCCTCAATTGAATTGGTTCAATCACTTCAATATCCATTTACTTAATTTTTGATCAGTCGTAGGTTGGCAATATAATAAAAAGGTTTCCCTGTAAATACATTTGTAGAAGAATTTGCATCAAGCAACAGATACAAAGTAAAAAAAATGTCTTGTTACTGTGTTCACTGCTTACAGTGTGGATTCCTTCAGTGGGGAGACCAACACAGATTGACTGACTGTATTATGGAGCATCTCCATTCAGTATCGTAGCATGATGCTGAGCTATCAGTCACCTGTCATTCTATCGCTACACCTTGATCCTGCACTTATTATCTTTCTTAATATAGAATCACCACAGCGTGGAAGCAGGCCATTTGGCCCATCAAGTCCATACCGATCCTTTGAAGAGCATCCCACTCGGACCCACCTCCCTACCCTATCCCTGTAACCTTGCATTGTCCACGGCCAATCCACCTAACCTGCACATTTTGGACTGTAGCAGGAAACTGGGGCACCTAGAGCAAACGCAGCAGACATGGAGAGAACGTGCAAACTCTGCACACAGTCAGCTAATGCAGGAATCAAACCCAAGTCCCTGCCATTATGGAGAAGCAGTGCTAACTATTTATCAGTCCTTAGTTTCCTCAAGTAATCCAATGAAACTCAACATAAAGTCAACAAATGCAAAATATTGTGGATTCTGGAAAGCTGAAGCAAACACAGAATGCCAGAGAAACTCAGCAGGTCTGGCAGCATCTGTGGAGAGTGAAACAGAGTTAACGTTTCAAGTCTTCTTTGACCCGTCTTTAGGTTCACCTGCTGAGTTTCTCTAGGGCTGCCAGTGTCTGTAAGGTCAACAACATCAACTCAATTTTCCAATGAGCACTTCAAAGACTCTGGACTCAACAGGTATAGTAGGAACTGCAGATGCTGGAGAATGTGAGATAACAA